ACCCATGTAGCAGCCTTTCATGACCACGTACCAGCCTTTGGTACCTAGCCTGCTGGCCTTCAGAGAGCTAACGTTCTAATTAGAGATACGGTGATGAGGTGGGTGTCCCGTACAGCCTGTTGCAGGCCAAAGCCAGATGTGAGCCTTTCTTGCAGGCCTCGGGAGAGCGCTACCACGTGGAGCCCCACCCGGAACATCTCTGCGGGGCCTACCCCTACGCCTACCCGCCCATGCCAGCCATGGTGCCACACCATGGCTTTGAGGACTGGTCCCAGATCCGCTACCCACCTCCCCCCATGGCCATGGAGCACCCGCCCCCACTCCCCAACTCCCGCCTCTTCCATCTGGTGAGTCTGTGTCCCTCCCTTGCTCCAGGGCACACACAGAGGCTGCCCCAGACACCTTCCAGAGAGGAAGGTTAAGTGAGGGGGTCAGAAACTGCATCCTTCTGAGCTAAACAGCACCATGGTGGCAGGTGGGTGTCCAGGGCCTGGCTCTGGCCTGCTACCCAGGGGCAGGGATCTGGCCACCATCCCGCAGGCTGCCCCACAGCTGTTCAGGGTCACTGGTGTAGGACAGAGAAGGCTGAGTAACAGTGCAGGGTAGGAAGGAGGACTCCCTCCAGGCCCCAGGCCAGGGGTATCAGAGTTTGGGTTTGCTTTTTCTTATAACTTCCGCATGTAACCAGGTTCCAGAGCCTCACCATGTTTCTCTCTCTTTCCTTCCCTTTTCTCTCCACTCCCCTCCTTCCCCTCATCTCCCCTCCTCTCCCCTCCTGTCCCCTCCTGTCTCCTCCTGTCCCCTCCCCTTCCCTCCCCTCCCTTCCCCTCCCCTCCTTTCCTCCTCTCTCTCTTTTTTTATTTTCTTTTCCCTTTTTCTTTTCTTTTTTTTTTTTTTCGAGATGGAGTTTCACTCTTCTTTGCCCATGCTGGAGTGCAGTGACGTGATCTCAGCTCATTGCAACCTCTGCCTCCCAGGTTCAAGCTGTTCTGCCTCAGCCTCCCAAGTAGCTGGGATTACAGGCATGCACCACCACGCTTGGCTAATTTTTTGTATTTTTGGTAGAGACAGGGTTTCTCCATGTTGGCCAGGCTGGTCTCGAACTCCTGACATCAGGTGATCCACCTGCCTCGGCCTCCCAAAGTGCTAGGATTACAGGCGTGCACCACTGCGCCTGGCCTCTTTTCCCTTCTTACCATTCTTCCTCCAAAGATCTGCTATTACTTTTCCCCAGTCCTCTGCCACAGCCCCACCTTAGGCGTCCCAGCTCTCCCCTGGACCATTACGGAAACCTCCTGGCTGGCCTCCTTTTCAGCTTCTCCCATATGAACATTCTTGGTACACATCTTTAAACACCAGAGTATAGTACGGCGCTTAAGAGGTTGGCTCTGGATTTAGAAAGATCTGGATTCAAATCCAAGCTTAGCCATTCTCCTTGCTGGATGACCTTCAGCAAGTTATCCCCTCTGAGCCTCAGATTCCTTACCTGTGAAATGGGAGTGCCAGCCTGAGTTGTTATAAAGATTCACTTATACTTGACTAATATAGATTTAGTATTGTCCTGGCACAGTAGGTGCTATTGTAATTTTCGGGTGTGGTTATTGATTATTAAGCACCAGTTTTGTCGCAGCCGGAATACACCTGGCGTCTACCCTGTGGAGGGGTTCGAAATCCAAATCAGAGCTCCCAAATGATGGACTCTCCCACAGCCAGGCCTACAGAACCAGGTGAGCCCCGAGTCCTGAGTCTTGGTCCTCCCTGGGGGAGATAACGTCTCATCTGCCAGCATTGCCTAAGTCTGGGGTGATATTGTTACTTTCTAATCTTGGTGGAGGAGAGGCCCAGCTTTTCAAAACAGTGTTGAATGGAGAGCGATGGCAGCCACAGAGTGAGGGGGGCTGAAACCATTCATTCTAGTGCATTATCTAAATGCCAGGCATTGTGCTAGGTGCTATGGATGCCAAGAGAACAGAAGCAGATACGGTCCTTGCCCTTATACAGCATAATGTCTAATGAGGGAGGCAGAAATGGCTAAACAGACACCACACAGACAGGCTGCACTCGAGTGCCCTAAAGGAAGAAGAGCAGGGAGAAAATAGCAGAGGAAGCCGACCTAGACTGGGGGCTTAGGAGAGCTTCCCATAGGCGGCAGCATTTGAGTTGAGACTCTCAGAGTGAGTGGCACTAGTTAGGTGGAGAGGTAGGAGTGTCATGCTTTTGCAGAGAACACGACAAATGCAGAGGCCTTGGTGGGAGGAGGGGAAGTAGGGAAGCCGATTTGAGGATCAGAGGGAAGACCAGTGTGGCTGGAGCCAAGAACAAGGTGGGGAAAGAGAGGGGCAATGCAAGGTTCGGGATGTAGCCAGGCCCTGACCGTGCAGGCCTGCAGAGCTTGGTGGGAGGCCTGGGTCTTATCCTCAGCATAATGTGTAGCAACTGGACATTTTTAAGGCAGAGTGGTATGACCATATTTCTGTTTGAAAAGCTCCCCTGACCATGGTGTCCACCATGAAAGGCTGAAAGGCCGGGAGTTGTGTCCACTCGTCAAAAGACTGGGACCTTAGCAACTGCCATTGCTCCCTGCAGAGCTCTCATGGGACACAAGGCACTGCCTCGCCTGTGGGACTTCTGGGAACACAATTATAACTAGTGGGTGGGAATGACAGGGAGGTCAGGTCCATCGCAGCATGAAGAGGAACTTTCTAAGGGACACAGTTGTGCAGAAATGGAACCAGCTCTGGGAGGTAGCGAGTGTCCCTTTGCAGAAGGTGTGTGAGTAAAGGCCATGGGATGGATACCTTGGAGGGGTTGTGATTTGGAGGATTTGGTGTTTGGAAGAAAGGATTGGACTGCTCGGTCATTTTCTGTTTTTCCCTGAAGAGCCCCACGAGTTCAGTGGAACCCCTTAGAGGCTGCTTTGATGAGTGGTAGAGGTTGGTTTAAGGGGAGGGGCTCCCTCCCCAGAACTGCTCCACTTCCGGGGTCTGGAGCCAGATTGGGTTCAAATCCTAGCCCCACTACTTCCTGGACCTGGAGCTATGAGCAAGTCATTCAAAACCTCTTAGTGTCCCAGTTCCCTCTTCTACAATGGGGTAATAACCTGCCTTCTTCATAGGGCTGGGGGAAGATTACGTGACCAGTGTACCTAAGGTACTTAGCCCTGGCGCTTGGTAGCACCCCGTAACCCTAGCTGTTATTTTCACTGTTCCCATATTGCATTCCATAAAAGACTTTGAAACTCACTCGACCACATAATCATGAAGTCCTCAAAATTTTTGTTTATTTAGAGTCTCCAAAAAATGACCGTGAGGGGCCTCAGTGAGACCAGATTGTGTCATTTGGCTCCACCTTCATCTTGCAGAGCCAGCTGACCTCAGATTGCCGAAAAACTAGAAGCCACTTGCATGGTGTGGCCAGAGCCTCAGCTGGATGAGAGGCTGAGATGGGTGGCCAGCTTGTACACCAGTCCCTGAACCGAGCTGTTTACAAGACTGGGGAGGCTCCACCCAGAAGGCTTTCATTTGTACTCTGATGGGAGTGACTGGGAAAAACTCACTTCCCTGCTGCTGAGTGGAGAGAGGCCTCGTCCAGCTTTGACCTGCCATCTGTTGCAGAAGCCTCCAGGAGCAGCAATCCTAAGAGTGGGGTGCAGTGAAGATCCCCTTCCTTCAAAATCTCCTGGAAATGGTTTCAGGCCCTCTGGTGCCATGACCAATTTGTGTGTGTGTTTAATTTTTGCTTCAAGCTCTAGCAGGACCTGCCCCACGCACACCCCTACCCCTCTGTGAGGAGCTGTGGGAAGTGTGGGTTTGTTTCCGGAACAGAAGAGAATGATGGATGTTCTGGCTCTGGGGCCTTCTCCACCTCCACTCACAGTAGCCTTGCTGAAGCCATTGCAGATGGGAGAAGGTCATGCCAGCCAGGTCCGATGAGGGGCCCCAGCCTGAAGCTGCCAGGCCCTGAGGTTCAGACCCTGGACCCTGCAGCTGGAGGCCTGTGGTGCCAGAAGCCCAGATTAGGGTGGCTGTCCATCCCTGGATAGCTATTTGCACGAATCATGGACATAAATCCAAGTTGAAGATCAACATTCTGACTCATGTTCATTTATGCACTAATGTTCCCCTATCAACCCCCTGCTTTCCTGGGTCCCTCCTTCTGTTCCCCTTTTCTTCCTTTCCCTTTCTTACTTTCTCTTGAGTAATGGTGACATATCAGGGCCTCCCTGAGGGTAGGGCAACCAGGGACAGTCGAAGGAGCCTAGGCCAGGAATCAGGGGACTTGGGTTTAAATTCCAGTCCTGCCCCTCACTCATCAGGAGACCTGGGGCAAGGCGCGGCCCTTCTGTGAGCCTCAGTTTCCTCATCTGTCAAACAGAACACCTCATCTTAACTGACTTGAAGAACTGTGGGAGGGAATGAGAGTAGATCAGAACTGGTTTTATAAATTCCCAATGCTGAGTGACAGAAGCAGAGTGGGCCAAGGTAGGAGCCAAAAGCAGAGACCCAAATTCTCTAATTTCTCTCTCTTTTTTTTTAAAGAGACAGTCTCACTATGTTGCCCAGGTTGGAGTGCAGTGGCTATTCACAGACTCAGTCACGGCGCACTATAGCCTCAAAATCCCACATCAGCCTCCCAAGTAGCTGGGGCTATAGGAGTGTGCCACTGCACCCAGCTATTAGGTTGTTGCAAAAGTAATTGTGATTTTTGCCCCTTTTTTGTGGCGGAGGGGGCCTCCCTCATGAAGATGCCACCCCTGACAGGGTTATGTGGTCCTTGCACTCTGCTTTGGCTGATCTCGGAGAATTGTGGGGTGGGGAGGTAGCCTTGGATTTTGCCATATGGCGAAAACCACAGTTACCTTTGCACCCACTGTAAAAAGTTTTTGTTGTTGTATTTGTTCTTTTCTCATCCTCCCCACTTTACCCTGCCCCACCTTCTCCTCCTCACTCCCCACCCAGGCGGGGGCAGCCACCATTGAAAAAGCACCACACACAGTAGGCTCAGCTGCTGCAGAAAGGCTTTTACTGGGCAGACAGGGGGTGAGTCTCATGCCAATGGACCAGTGAGGGGAGAGGGCACATCCTCTGAAGCAGCAGGGGTGGCATCCCTGCCCAGGGGCCTTAGCCTGAATGCACTAAGAGCTGGCCCCTCAGACAGGCTCAGGGGAGGTCCGCCCACAAGGGCTTTGGGCCCCTCCCTCATGAAGACGCCACCCCTGACATGGGGTACGTGGCCCTTGCTCTCACATCTGTCTTGGCTGATCTCAGGGAGGTTGATCTCTCTCAGGGAGAACTGTGGGCTGGGGATGTAGCCTTGGGAGGGCCCTTCAGGAAGGAGGAGTTGGGGATTGGGCAGTGTGGTAGACCCAGAAACTTCTGGGGACGTCAGTGGTAGTTACTAATATTTGGAGGCAGTGGGAGATGCTGGCCCCAAGGTTGAGGTATCGATTACAGCAGAACAATTGGACCTCGAGCTGGTTTTTCCTTTGGGTTTAGGTGTAAGTGAACTATCATCATTGGAATGGAGAACTGGAGAGAAAGGTGGTTATTCTCCAGCATTACACAGCTGCAGGCACACAGATGGCACACATTCCCAGAAAGACACATAGGTAGACACGTGGCTGTACACCCATACACACAGTCACGCACACCTGTAGGCCTGTGTGTAAACACCCACATGCACCCACACTCACATGCCTGGCAGTACAGACACAGAACTGTATGCATCCATTTGTGCCAGGCTGGGGCCTTGAGTGATAGGAAAGGGGTCTGTGGTGGGTAGATAGTGTGGTTGGAGACACGGATTCCTTCCTGAACAAAGTCCCTCCCCTACATGGTGGACATGGGATGAGACAGCCTTCAGTTACTTCCTCTTGACCCCCAGGGCTGCCTGCCGCCTCATGTAGGACAGGATGTCCATCTTGACGTTGCTGATCGTGGTCCGGTGGTGCCAGCGCATGACAGGTATACCATCTGGCCCCACCAGGAATTTCTCAAAGTTCCAGCGGATGTCGTGGACCTTCATGGGTTCCCAGAAGAGGCGGTCAGATGTACCCAGGAGCTCCGAGGTGGGAGGACAGGAGTTCTAGAGCAGGGATGAGAGGAGTGTCAACCTTGCTTGAGGCCACCCGACCCTCTTCCTTCCTAGACCTTCCTGGGGTGGGAGAACAGCCTGGCCCTGAGAAAAGAGCCCCAGTTTGGGAGTTAGAAGACTGACTGCCAGTGCCAGCTGTGGCTCTAGAAGATTGTGAAACCCTTAGTATGTTCACTCTGGGTCCTCCTTCTGGGCCTTTCCTGTAAAATGGGCCAATAGTCAGGGTCTGCAGAGCCCTCTAGCTGGAACAATAGATACCAAGAAATTCCCTAAGAGCCCAGGAGCAGGGGAGGTGGCATGGCCTTCATGGTGTGGACTGGAGCCAAGAGGGGCTGCAGTCCCAGCCAACACAGGTGGGAGCTCACTCACCTTTAGGAAAGTGTAGAATTTCTGCTCTTTCTCTCCATTCACATCCCCTTTCTCAAAGAGCTGGAAATTAGGGACAAAGCCTCCACCTGGTCGGACATACCTGTTGAGGAATGTTCTTAGGTGGGTTCCAAGGAGGTGGGCACAGGGCTCAGAAATGAGAGGAAGGGACAGAACAGGGGAGGGGGGTGTTGGGGGTCTGGATTTATTCCGCAGTGGGAAGCAGGAGCCAGTGAATGTGCAGTGGGTGTAGGCATAATGTGAGTCCGCGGTCTTCCTTTCCAGCCTGGTCCCTTTTCAGTGTCCCCCCACCTCGGTGCTCCCCGCAGATGCACATCACAACTAGTCATGTCTGTCCTTTTCCCTCTTTTGTCCCTTCCCTTCCATTCCCTCATTTCACTGGGGATCCTAGAAGAGGAGAGTGGTTCTTGGTGGCTGATAAATGTTCACCATGGATTGGGGTTGATACAAGACACATGGGCCATGTGAGAGGTGCTTTCTTAGGATGCTGAGTGAGCACTCACTTGAGGCTGGGAAGGATCTCTGAGTTCTCGCCTGGTTCCTGTTTTCCAAATTGGTTGCAGGGAAAGCCGAGAAGGACCAGACCAAATGGTGCAAGCTCTTCTTGTAGTGCATTCAGTTCTGGGCCAAAGAGAAAGAGCAGACATGGGAGTATCCTGGCAAGGAGCCCTGTCTCATCCACACCACTCCCCCAGCTCACCTGCTGTGCCACTGGAACTACTGAGGCCCGAGAAAGGGAGGGACTTGCCCAAGATCACCAGTGAGTTCACAGCAATGCTGGGACTCAGGTCCTATCCTCTTGACTCTAAATCAGGATGGATTGGAGGTTTGGGGGAAAAGAATACCCTTCCTCAAATCAGCTGTCAGTCACCTGCCCATTGCCAAGGCCCTCCACCTGGGCCAATTGGAGCACTCATTCAGGGCCCTCAGGATTGAGTTTCCTGGAGCAAGAACTATCCATCCCTGGATACAAGGCAGAGACCTTTGGGGTGAGGTTACAACCCTCCCATAATCTTTGGCAAATCAGGAACACAGATGAGGCCCTGGCCCAGCTCCCCAGTTTCCTCAGTGTCCCCTGGTCTCTTTTGCAGCAGCACCCAGCCCATCTCTTGCCCAAACGCACTGTGCTCTGTTCCAAGGCTAGAGAGAAGCATCCCAGACAGAGCACTCACAGCCACTGGACCACGCGACCACCGTCCTTCCGCTTACGGGAATTCGCCTGATTGCCAGGCAGAGCATAGAGGGTCAAATTGTCCTTGCCTCCCTGACCCCCTGCCAGCAGACTGCTCAGCCCCAGAGCGTTTTCCCCTGGGTGCTGTCGCTTGCCTTTGGTTGCCTGTTCCCCTAGCCTCTGTATTCTACCCCAGCTAGGGAGAAAGGAGTAAGCATATCAGGAGATCATGAAACCTGGGCCAAATGCCCCATTCCGCCACTAATAGCTTTGTGACTCTGCTTAAGTTGTGTTTCACTCTGAGTCTTGGTCTCCTATCTGTAAATTGAGAAGGGGGGAAGGCTAAACTAGATCATCTTCAAAGTTTATTTTAGAATGGGCATTAGAAATGTAGCCTGCCCCTTCATCCCACTACACCATGCATACACTCTGGGGCCTCAAGGCAATTTGCCAGAGGCCAGAGTTCCAGAGAGCTGCCAAGAGAAGCACCAAAGCAGATGGGGCTGAGGGAAAATGAGACATTCTCAGCAAGATGGAGCTCCAGTTACCATCTCATGCTCCAGCCAAAGGGAGCTCTAATCACAAACCGAATCTCCATCCCTCTGCCTTTAGGGTGGTTGAGGTGCCCAGAGATGAAGACAGATAACTGGGAATCTCCTAGAACATGTCCAGAGGCAATCAGACCTCAGGCTTATATAATCATCTTCACAAAACCACAGAACACGGTGGAGCTGGGAAAAGGGGCTTGGACTCTCATGATTGCCATCACCCTTCCCCCTGTGCACCAGAAAAGATCCTGTGATTGAAATATGCCATACAGCCCCAAATAAAGCAGGGAGGAAGGGTGGGCTCTTACCAATGTATTGGCCCGTCAGGCCTCAGTAGCTGGCCACGTTGACAAAGAGGACGTATTTGCCAATGTACTGCTTGAAGGGGATGTACTCCTCCCCATCAATGGTGAGGGCTCCGTACTCGTAAATGGTGCCGCTCACGCCACCATGGCAGTCCATCTGGAACACAGAAAGGCCATAAAAGGAGCAGTTAGAGCTGGAAGGGAACTTGGACATCTCCATTTTCAAAAGAATGAAAGATCCCAACAGGGAAAGTGACTTTCTCAAAATCATCCCCGAGAATTGGAACTGGACTAGCACTGAGGTCTCCTAATTCCTTGTGTAAGATAATGATTTTGAAAGCACTTAATAAGTGCTTATTAGGTGCTTACTATTAAGTGCTTAATACGTGAGTGCTTAAGTGCTTAATAAGCACTTAATAAGTGAGTGCTATGGAACCCTAGAGAATGACTTACTTTGCTAATTACTTCCACATCACATGTCAACTTCAGAATATTTACTGAAGTTATTTAGGGAGACTGCCCTAAAGCTGATGGCTGGGTTCCTGGACGGGCTGATGGAGACTGGTCGGGTGGCTGTTGGGATACTCCAGGCCATTGAGGATGAGAGCCTGAACTAGGCCAGTGTGAAGGAAAAACTGAACAGAAAGGAGGCAGAGGCAGTATGGACATGGTCATTCAGAGGCTCCCAATCTGGAGGACAGGAAAGATGAGGCTGTTGTTACCAAATAGGGAAGCAGGACTGAGAGCCAGGCATGGGGGAAAGGGCTGGGCAAGGTAGGGAAAAGCAACAATACCTGCAGGTGTTAATGTTCCGGGCCTGAGCAGGCTGGTGATGACCCTTATGCCTTCCTCCCTCCCCAGCTGCTGCTCACAGTCAGCCTCCAGGACAAGGAGGGACAGAGTACAGTGGACTGTGGGCTGGGAGACCTGGGCTCCACGTCCGTCTGCCATTAACTCCCTGTGTGGTCTTGGACTGACCCTTTCTTTTCTTCGGACCTGAGTTTCCTCGTTTATAAAATGAGAACCTTGAACCGAACCAACTCTTCAACCAGGTCAACCATGATGGCTTGATAGGATCATGATCAGTGGGAAAGGGGGGACTGGGCTCACTGCTGGCTAGTAGGATGTGGCTTATGAGCCTACTCTGCCTCTACCTCATCCCTGACACAGACAACAAAACTCTGAGACTACCCTTGAAAGGATGTCTGTCATTGCATCATTGACATAATTTGGCAGGTGGGCTGGTCGTGATGGGAAAGGAAAAACCTTGAAACCATTGTATAAGGTGATCTTTAAGGTCCTTTGTGGCCTTGATATCCTTTGAAAGGTGGGCAGACAATAAACAAATGGAATGCAAAGCAGCATTATAGACCAGGAGAGGGCAGAGACAGGTGGCTGGAGTTAGAACAGCAAATTCACTCCCTCTCTTCCCCTCAGTTCTGGAGAACTTGCTGTTGAGGCAAGGAACCTGGGCCTGACCAGGTGAAGGGAGTGATCCATGCTGGCAGAGTGTGGCCCCTGCGCAGGATGCAGAAGAGATACCTCTGTCATGAAGCAGGCCTGCTGAGCCGGGCGAGGCTGCGCTTCCTCCGCCAGGCCATTCCCTGGCAGCTGCAAGCTCTCTTCTTGGCACTGGTGCAAACTTCCTGCTTTACATGAGTCTAATATTCCACACCCTGTGACTTTTGGTGGGTGCTGGAGGCAGGCCCAAGACCTAAGATCAACATTCCTCCTGCTCCTGGAGCTCCTCGTTCCAGCTGGGGCCATTTCCACCTTAAAATGCAGACAGACTGGGGCACAACACATATACCCTAGACCGCCACAAAGGTCTAGTGGCCAGAAAGCCGGGCATCTCTATAGCCTGTTCACTTTTTTAACTCTGCCATGACCCAAAAATGAACTCCGAGACATGGAAGAAAAAGAGATGACAGGTTGTCCTAATAATGGGAGCTTGTAAACAGAAGGACCAGCTTCTGGGCACAGTTTCAGTTTGGGGGTGTGGCAAGGAGAACCCTATTTCATTCGCTTCTGGTTTTTGCTGGCTGTGTGGCTCTGAGCAAGTCACTTTCACTGTCCGGGCATATAATGTCCAGGGAGATAAGCATGCTGCTGCCCAGAACGGCTGGGAGAATCTATTGGCAGAACAAAACAGGCATAGAATCTCTTGGAACAAAATCCCATGTCAAGGGATAGTGGGGGTCAGAAGGTGGCCCACGGGTGGAGAAGCCACAGCTGTGCTCCCCACTGACCACTGCAACTCAGTCCTCTATGAGTCCCCTTCCCTTCTCTGGGCACATGGAATCCCAGAGCACTGCATCTGAAACAGTGGCTGAAGGAGATAACGGGGAGAGGCCATGACAGTGCCTCAATCCTCCCATAGCTGGGCAAGAGAGGAGGGTTCTGGTGGCTTGAAAGTTGGATGATGGGACTCAGCCAGGACTCTGGCTGGCTGGGGCTGCTGGTCTTGTGTCTTTCTCCTCTCCTGTCTTACCACTGCTATCAATATGATCTGTGAGAAGTGGTCTGGGAGGCTGGAGACCTGAGTGCTGGGCTTTGCTGTGTCTCTGATGCCATGTGACCCCCTTTCCTGGGGCTCCGGCTCCTCCATTGTAAGATGGAGTCAGGTTCAGGGCTGTCTTAAAGGCCCTTTAACTCTGTCAGCCTGTGGTTCCATGATTCTCTCTGTCAGGTTTAGTCACCTAGAAACCAGCGGTTACTAGGATCCCATGCACGTCAGCAGTTGTCACTCTTTCCGGCTTCTGCAGTCCTTTTGTAGAGACAAGGAGCCTGGGCAGCCTGAAGTTGGACTGGGGAGGGGATGCAGCAAGAAGAGGAGGACCCCATCTGTTCCCTAGCCTCTTCCTTTGAATTGGTAGGAGGCAAACACCTCTCTGGGGCTGAGTCCCCTTTCATCCATTCCATTCTCCACATGCCCCATAACCCTATCCCTTTACCCTGGGGTTGGGGGTGAGATGAGTGGTTGGGTCCTAACCCAGAGCTAAGACATCTCAACTGTAAGAACTTGGGAGCAGAGATGGGCATGTCCAGGCTTTCATTAGCCAGCAAGTCCTGACTAGTTGTATGTGATATGATTATACCTCACCCTAAAACTTTTCTAGACCATCCCCATCCTATTCTCTCTGAGTCCATTTATCCCTCCCCAGAGTTCTGCAGAGAAGACATAGCTATGATGAGTTATTCATAGAGTCCAGGTTCTCCCCACTAGCCTTCTTGAGGCAGGGCCCAATTCGTACCTTCTTTGACCCTCCCCAGTCTGAGAGGTTGGGACTCACTCCATGGTGCTGGCCTGTCTATGGCCCACCCCCAACATCAGTGTTGAAAATCGACCCCATTCCTGACCTGGAAAATGCCTTCTGAGTTGGGGATTATGAACAGGGATGGATAAAAAAGGAGGGGGCTTGGACAAAGTGGCTTCACATCCATTTAGACTGACTCCAAGGAGAGGCTGATTAATGGGATTTAGGCTGAGGACAGAAAGGGGGTGAGTAACATGGAAGGAAGCCTGTGCTTGCAATGGGCTTCCTGAGAAGTGGATAGAATTTTGGAAACGGACTCCTAGACTCGTAAGATCTTAATTAAAGTGAAGGCCCAGAGGATTTTAGAAACACAAGCTCAGAGCTTGCAAAAATGTGAGTTATGCGTGTTGGGAGGTTGGAGACAGAAATTGCTCTCTTTGAGTCTATCCCTACACCTGGTTTCTGCCTCCTTCCCCACCCACTCCCACTCAGTGGGTAGAGGAGAGGTCTACAGAGCCCACCCCGGCACACACTGTCCAAGGAGATCAGCATGCTGGCTCTTCCCGCTCTTGGCCTCAATATCCCCACTCCAGGTATGGGCCACACACCTGCTGGAAATAGACCGAGGCTCCAGAGAATTCTACCTCTCCTTCTGAATTAGCAGTCCCCAGCTTTCTCCAACTACCAGGTTTCCTCAGGCTAATGACAGTGGGTCCTGGGTAGTGAGGCTGCCCCAGAGGAGGAAATTGCAGAGAACAGCTTGTGGATTTTTCAGCTTCTCCAAGCATCCCCTATGAGGCCCTCAGCTTCATTGTGCCCCATGCACTCCCACCCCCAAACTCCCCCCTGCAGATGGAGAAACGGGGGTCCAGGAAAAGGTAAGGACTCAGGGTCCTGAATGTTCGGCACTGCCACTCCAGAGCTCTTTCTAGCACTGATCTCTGCCTCTTCTACCAATGCCCTGAATCCAAGTGGCCATTTCTACCCGCCTGTATCATTCCTGGACTAGAAGAGCCCCCACAGCAGTTCTTCAGGACCAGGCTCACCCAGCTGCCTCTCCCCTTTCTCGTTGTCTGTCTCCCTTGGAACTTGCACAGCCCACCCAGACGCCAGGCATTTTTTCTGTGACGCCCTCCCTCTCAGGTCCTACTGAAGGGGAGCAGCTCAGGCACGGAGGTGACATAGATGTTGCAAGGCGATCCCCGAGGTGGCAGTGGGGAGAAAGTGCGAGCTCGGGGGAAAGAGACCTTCCTCCCTTAGTCATTCTGCCCGCCTGAAGCACCAGGTTTCAGCTCTCCAACAGATGGAACTACAAGACGACGACGGTCGGGGGCGGGGTCGCGGCGGCAAAAGGGTTCAGGGGGTCCCTCGCACCTGGGGATCGCCCATCTGGCGGGGAGCCTGGGAAAAGGGGTGCATTGCACTAAGCGCTGGACACCGAGGGGCTAGGTTTGTTCTCCTGGCCCCCCGCCCGGAGGCTCACTCACCTTCGACTTATCTTGTCCCCGGCTCTGCGGGAGGAAGCCGGCCAGGAGCAGGGAGAGCAGGCAGGACGCCTGCAGCAGCCGGGCCATGGCGGGCTGGGGGCACACTCAGGGGCGCCTGAGTCGCTGCCTGATCCCTGGCCACCGTCCGTCTGAGGTGTCCGGCGCTCCCAGCCACCTTTCAAGCCCTCGGGTGTGACCAATCCGCGGCCAAGCCGGGGCCCTTGCAGCCAATCGCTAGGCGGCTGGGATTTCAGGGGCGGGCGCGACTTGCCCTCAGCTCCCCCTTCCCCGGCCCGGGGCGACAGTGACATAAGCAAATCTGGGCAGAGAGGTGGAAGTCAGGTCCCTGTGGACGTGGGAGGCAGTCCCTTCCTCTTTTGGCTCCAAAGTGCGAATGGAGGCAGGCACAGCGGTCTCCGTTACAGCGAAGGCAAGGGGGCTAATAGCACCCAAGAACTGCTGGAAGTCTCCATTCTGGGAAGCATTCCTTATTCCTATCCAGGCTTTAAAAACACCTTGCGATGGTCCTCTGGAAATTGAGGGTTTAAAATTTCAGCAAGATCTGAAGTTAAACTTCCAGAAACATTTACTATATATAGGTTTAGTGCTTAAGAAACAAAGAGTGGGTGTCCCGGGATTTTGAAAACCCCAGTCTGGTTAGGGCACTGGGACTGTAGGGACAGAGAAGGTGGGGTGCCTTTCCTCCCCATCATAAGGGTCACAGCTGACACACCTGTAGCAAAAGACAGGTTAGCAAGAAAAAAGCATAACAGATTTATTTAATTAAAGGTTTCTGTGACATGAGAGTCTTCAGAAATGAAGACCCAAAAACTCAAGGAAAACTGTTTATTTTTAGGCTTAAATTCTATGAAGACCATGGAAATGCGCAGAAATGTGAGTGGAGAAAAAGGGAATGGTCTAATAGTAATCAACTGAGTGGGAAACCCAGCAAGGCTTGTCTGTTTGTATTCTTGGCCTATCTGTGGCTAAACCACCTGGTTTAGAAGCAGAAAATAAATTTGCTCCCTGTGTAGTCTTTAACATGTGGCAGTTCCTCTCTGGGCCTCAGTTTCCTCAGCTGTGTAATGATAGGATAGATTTGTGATCTCCAGTGCCCTTCTGACTCTGACTAGATGACTTGTTTCTAAAGTAAGTGACAGACCGAGACCGGGAGTCCTTTGAGAATAGAGCCCATAATCACTACCTGGCACAGGACCTAGCACACAACAGATGTAAAATATTTGCTGACTTAATCATTCATTACATTAAAAAACAAAATCTCCATGGAACACTTATGATCAGGCCAGGCAGTTCTAGGGCTGGGCTGTCTAGGTATGATCCTGTCCACAGATGGGGAATGTGTTTGGAATCAGTCTCAAATCTGACCACCAGAGTCAACTGGGAAGCCTTTAATACAGATTCCTGGACCCCACTTTGGAGTCATTGCATTAGAATCTCTAGGGGCAGAAGCTGAGAATCTGCCTTCAGACATGTTCTAAAGGTTATTGTGAGGCAGTTGGCCTGGCTGTAGCCTTGATAGTGTGAGTCCTAGGATTAAGTGCCTTCTAGAACTTTCTTCTGACCAAGAAATGCCTTGAGAAACCATGCCTTTACTATGATTAAAGGTATTAACATCCCCATTGGAATTTGGAAGATGTCTCTCAAGTTTTGCCTTCTCTGTGAAGTCTTCCCACCTCGAACCACAGCCTGTTGAAGTGGAAGGAACCTCAGAGGCCAGGAAGTCTTTAGCTGAGTTACAGCCTGGGAGCATATGAACAATGGCTGACACACAGTAAGTGCTCAGTACGTTTTATTTATTTTTTATTTTTATTTTTATTATTATTATTTTTTGAGACGGAGTCTTGCTCTGTCGCCCAGGCTGGAGTGCAGTGGCCGGATCTCAGCTCACTGCAAGCTCCGCCTCCTGGGTTTACGCCATTCTCCTGCCTCAGCCTCCCGAATAGCCGGGACTACAGGCGCCCGCCACCTCGCCCGGCTAGTTTTTTGTATTTTTTAGTCGAGATGGGGTTTCACTGTGTTAGCCAGGATAGTCTCGAGCTCCTGACCTCGTGATCCGCCCGTCTCGGCCTCCCAAAGTGCTGGGATTACAGGCTTGAGCCACCGCGCCCGGCCAATACGTTTTATTTAACCACCTCACTTCACTGAATCCTAGAGACGGGGAGCAATTTACCCAAGTTCCCATAACCAACTGATGGCAGGGAGGGAATCAGAATCCAGGTCTCTAGACTCAGTCTCAGGCCCTCTCCATGTTGTTCTGTTGTCTTTTGAGGTTTGTATTTACCCAAAATTATAAACATCTGTGTACACATCAGTTTGTCAGAAATCCATTGTTCATTAGCATCAGTTGGCATCTAGTGACCCTCAACATGTCACCTAGCAACATGTTAACACCACGAGAGATGCTAAAGAGTTGTCTAGAAGCCAAAGTCCCTGCCCTTAAAGGTGTTTCCAGCAGAGACCAGCAGGGTGAGGGAAGGGAAGGTACCTAGGGTCACACAAGCGCAGGCTGGCACCTGGCAGCAGGCATCTCTCTACATTTTGCACCTTCTGTGTCTCACTTGTCTCACCTTAATCCCAGCCCTGGTGGTCTCTTTCTTTGGGGGAGACAAGAAGGAGCCAGATACCTGAGATGCTACCCCTGGATTGCTACGGAAAGTAATAAAGTTACTTTCCTTCTCTGATCTCAGTTGTCCACCTATTTATCAAGGATCTTTGACAGTCTCTCAGCGGTGGTGTCTGTGGCTCTTCATTCCTAAGGGTATAAGGATAGCCTGAGCCATACAGAACAGGAGTACAAAACTGATGACATGGACAGTGGGGTGGGGAGGGTGGGGGAGCCTGCCCTGGCATTAAGAAGGGCCTTTATGCTGCAGTCAGCTTTTAAAGGAGGTCTAACCATTGGCACAAAGAGCATGACAATGAAAACAATGAGAATGAAAACAATACTTCCCAATATTTTCATCAGCAGCCTTTTAAATACATTTGGTTGACTTGTTCTCAAGGACCCTATGTTTTGAAATACATCGTTCTCCACCAGGCTGCTTCCGACTGCCCTCAGGTTAAAGTCTAAATTCCTTAGCACTTCAGACAGTACCCTCAAAATCCATCTGCTTCTTCATCTTTTGCCACACTCTCCATATTCTCTCTGCCTCCGCTATACTGGACATTTTTCAGTTCTTGCAGTCTGCCATTCTCCCTCACTTCCAGGTTTCATCTCTGCTGTTCCCTCTGCTCGGAACAGAGGTTATCTCCCTTCAACTGGTTCTATCCTACTCATTTTTCATGTCTCCACTAATGTCACGTCTTAAGAAAGGAGTTTCGTGGTGGTCCCCTTGTCTTCCTATAGTTCCTAGAGTATGTGACACTTTCTACATCAACCCTTTGTTGTACTTTATCATCATGTCTTGTTTGTCTGTTTTCTGCACTAAATTATAAGATCCAAAAAGGCACCAGCACCAGCACAGAGCCTAATACATAGTAGTTGCTTGATACATATCTATCAAATAAATTAATGTCAGATAAAACAATATTTGGCATACAGAATAAGGAGAGCTTCAAGTCAGCAAGTTCTAACCATGTAGAGCCCGCAAGACTGGTCTGATTTCATCTTCTAGGAAGAGTCAAGACGTGTGGATTATGCTGAGTAGGCTTGTCAGAGGAGAGTGGATGATTTGCATTGGGCAAAATGAGAAGGGAGGGATAGAAAGAGAAGCTGTAGAAGAATCGTAAGCTAGTTTTGCTTCCATTCTGAGAACACGTCTTCCACAACCCAGACAAGTGAGCACTCGGAACCTCTTCATCCTATTTGTTAGAGACCTCTACAGGGAGCTCACTACTTACCTACTTGGTAGGTGAACAGAGACTGAAGATGACTTAAAAGGAGGTTTCACAAAAAGTGCTGATGCACTGTGTCTTCGAGGAAGATAGAACACAAGTTAATAAACTCAAAGGATTGTAAAAAGTTAAAACAATGAAAGCCAGCCTTATTATTGCTTAGTAAACACTTCAGGTTCTGGACTCAAAGATGGGATCAGCCACTCTAACTGATGAGCCTAGGTGGAAGCAGAAATGAGGCCCAGCCTGCGTCAATTCAGTGCCAACTTCCAACAGTAGCCCTTGTTTTGCAGTCAAGAAGAAATTGAAGAACTGAGCTGGGGCCCTGGAGCTGCCAGTTTCCTAAACAATTAGCAAATTTGATCTGAGGGCCAGCCAGAAGACAGGGAGTTCATCAAGAGGAGAGATGGGCGGCTGTAGTCTTTGCTTGTGAAACTAGTGCCTTCCAAACTCTGGGCTGCAGTTTTCTCATTTATGGGACAAGGTGTTAGACAAGTTGGTCTCAAAGGGCCAGGCTTTAGCATAAAGAGAGTAGCAGCCAGCATTCACTCAATATCCTATCCATACCAGGTACTGCCTTAATTAATCTCTGCAACCTCATGAGGTAGCCAACATTATTATCCCCATTTTGCAAATGAGGAAACTAATACATAGAGAGATTAAGCAACTTTGCTTAGGGTTATGCAGTTGGTAAGTCACAGAACCAGGCTTCTGACCCACACATACTATTCTGCTGTGAGCAGGTCTCTGTAAACCTACCCTACCCCTGGCCCCCGCCAAAGTCAGAGGAGGCTGAGAAGCTGAAGAAAGAAGCTGACATACCCAGTTCCTCAGAAAGAAGCATTTATTAGGCACTTACAGACAGAAGCCACAGAAGTCTTAGGTGACTGTGAAGTGAGATAGTGGATCCCTGAGCTATTTACCCCTTCCCAGCCCAGGGCTTATATAAGCATAGGGAAGGGGTGATCTCCCTATCGAAGGGATGTGCAGGCCAACCAAAGTGTGATAATATTAAGGTTGTTTTCACCTAAGGAGAATATTTTTGATAAGGACATGCTCTTACACAAGGAACAGTAGATAAACTGACAATCTTAGAGGCTTTTCTGGAACTGGAGTTAGTCAGAAATCAACATGGTTGAATCGGCATCCCAGACAGAGTGTCTTTAGTCTCCGCATATACTGTCTCCAGAGCCCTTGCCATTAACCTCTGAGCCAATATAGCAGGCAGGCCGTAGCGGTGTGTGGCTATTGCGTGCTGGGAGCGGGGCTAGTACAAACTGATCTGTGCTGTGAGTATAAAACACACAGTGTTCTCTGAAGACTTAGTTTGATAAAAGAATATAAAATATCTCAATAATTTTAATAAAATTACATATGGAAATATTTAAAACATATTTTTAATATAATGGATTAGCTGAGCACAGTGGCTCATGCCTACAATCTCAACGCTTTGGGAGGCCGAAGTGAGAGGATA